TATCCTGGCCAAAAATTGCCGCGATTATAAGGTTGGGACAATTACGGCTTTCCGTATTACAGTACCACAGATCCGTGGCCCACCGTTCGGGAACTTCGCAAGACGTCACATTCCCCAAGGCAACTACACGTGTCTGCAACGCCAAAGGTCCTATTTGTATGGGCTGCACGTGAACGCAATACACATGTACAAGTTGATATCGAGTCCCTTGTAAGCGAGTGCCTGTCCCGGGGGACCCGTGGAGCCGGCAGGGCCACTGGTTCCAGGCGAGTATTGTCAGCAACTGGGTGACGGGGTCGGTTTGTCCATTCTCGTAGTCCTCGTGATAGTGATCATCGGTCTAATTGAATGTGCTCGACCTAATTCACAGTATAGTGGCAAACCGGTGGCGCTGATGCCGGTGCTTGTGCGGGCGGCGGAGGCGGAGAGGCCGGAAGCGGAGCGCTGCTGGCCGCCGATGACCTCGAGAGTGGCGCGCATCTTGGCAGCGCGCTGCTGGGCGACAAGACGGGGATCCTCGTGCTGGGCGCGGTCGCACCATACGGTGGCCTTTTGCTTGCGGAGGAGGGCGACGTAGCCGGTGGGCTGAGGGCTGCCGCCGGAGCGGGACGAGGAGGAGCGGCGCAGGTCATTGGTGGGGGATGTGCGGTAGGCGGCGGGAGGTGGCACGCTGGAGGTGGTGCTGAAGGTGTTGACCGAGGGGGAACGGCGGCTGTGCTGCTGGGAGTTGGCGCTGATATGGGAGAGGCGGGTCGGCATCGGGCTCTGGATGGCGGTGGGGAAGACGCTGGAGGATGTCGTGCGTGTGCGGGAGTGAGAGTAGACGGTGGACGAGTCCATGGGCTGCTGCCGCCGGCTTGCCGACGGGTCCAACATGGCGGGGGGGGTATTATGATGTACGGGCGTATGCGTGGGCGTACGATGTGTGGGCGGCTGGTGTAGAGGTGGTTGTTGCCGTCGGCGTTTGTCGTCTGTGACGAGGGGTGAGGAATGCTTCGACCAGGCAGACAGGCGATGTGGTGGGGCTGCTGCTACTGGCGATATCGACGTCGACGTCGACGTCGATAGAACTGTAGTCGTCGCCGTGGTGGCGGTGGTTATGGTCGTGACCGTCGGGTATAACTTTCGTCTGGCG